AACAATTACGGATTGAAGGCCTAATTCAGGTGTAGATATGTAAAGCCTAATCTAGGTGATCAATCTAAATCCAACTCAACACATCATGGTTAATTATTCAAAATAACACGAGCAATTCCAAAAAGATAACTTAACAATCAACCAAAAAAATTAATCAAACATCGTCAAGTCATAGGGTTCAACTTCCCCGGAACTAGAAATAAAAACTATCCTAGCATGCTAAATAAAAATAAAAAGATAAAAGAGAGAGATTAGTTATCTCCCTCGTGTGCGGGTGCGGCCTCCCTCCGCAATTGATCGGCTTCCTCGTCTTTCTGCTTTGTTCCGTATGCGGCAGCTTCTTTTTCTTCTCTGTTCGTGGCGGCTGCTTCCAATTCTCTCTGGCTGCTGTGTGTTGCGGCGTGAATAATTCCCCACATTATGTTGCGGTGCGTGTATATATATGGCCTGTCAGTTTTTTTCCCTTGCAAATTAATTCCTCCAATAAAAAGTGATTGCCCTCCAAATAAATCAACTTGACCCTGAATGTATTTTTTTCTTTTTACTTGCGTGAGTGCTTCATTAATTGGAGTCTTCAATTGTCCAAACACTTAGGCTTAATGTCAGCAAGTGGTCTTAATTAATGTGTCTTGGGCTAACTACGATAACTGATCGCGTGAGCTTCCATCCAATGTTTCCGACCACAAAAATACTCCAATAAGCTGAAAATAAATGGAAAATAATAAACTGAAATGAATCCATCCAAATAATAAATAAGACGAAAAATATAAACGTGCGAATAAATTACGTATATAAAAATACACTATTAAAAATATAAAACGCGCACATTTTTCGACCTATCAACCATTAACCTGCTCGAGCTATCCGTAATGAGCTTCATCGACCTGCCACTGAGGTAAAAAACACAAATACCACAAAACCAAATCAAATAGAACCATTAACATGCTCGAGCTATCCGTAACGAGCTTCATCGACCTGACACTGAGGTTAGGAACAAATATACAATAATACCAGACCAAATAGAACCAAGTAGAAATAATCGACTTGCCTCTGAGATCTGCTCGAGCTATCCATGTCTTCACCGGTCCCGGAGGCGCGGGTATACGACCAACCTGCCCACCCCAAGGGATGTTCTAAACAAGCGATCACCCAACCCGGAGGCCTTAGTCATGGTGGATTTTGTCTATGTGTGAGACCTGGTAATGGATCGAGCGGAGGGTGTCTCTGATACGCATAAGAGGATGCTGGATCTGCCATGAGCCCTGGTGGCCAGATGTCAAAATTGTGATGACAGCCACAACATCCATCTCTATCCAGACATGAGAGGAGATCGAAGCGGCAATCTCAAGACCAATCTGGAGTTCCTGAATCTCTGCATCATAACTCGAGGAGGCTCAGAGTGGCCCATGGAAGGCAGAGATGAGTGCCCCACCATGATCCCTAATCAGGCTTCCTCCTCCAGCAGCTTCGGTATGTCTGTCGAAAGCGCCATCAGTGTTTAGCTTAACCCAAGGGGCCTTGGGTTTTAGCCAAACAAAGGTCCTGGGTCGTGGATGTTGGACAGGTAAAGGAGGTGGTGGCCTCAAACGATGGGGCAGTGTACACCCTGTCCAGTCTCTCATCGTGAGTCTACTCAGGGCAGTGAGGAGAGAGAGGTGTCTGTCAACCTGCAAAATAATGTGAGCACAAAAAAATATAATATTCGTATGCTTCGCATTATTCCTTTCTGTCCAGGTGGCCCACAGGATCAGACAAGGAATAAGGAAGCCCACGTGTCTACTGTATGTGCGGTGTGAGAAAAAACTCAGAAGCTCAAAAAATCTGTCTGTAGTGGGTAGGGGTATATGAGTATATCTGGCATAGTGCTCCCACACTCTCCTCACAGTCTCACTCTCAAGGAAAAGGTGGGTGAAAGTCTTGATCTCAAAGGTACCGGTCTCAGCACAACAATGGCAGCGGGAGGGGAAGGAGAACCCTCTCGCCTGCATCATGTCAATGGGAATGCGCCGTAATAGGAGGCGCCACAAAAAGACGGAAATGCTCGGGGTGAGAAGGTCGGTCCATATGGCCCTGAAGAGGCGGTTTGGCCGGTTGCCCAGCCTCACATCTCCCCAGGCTGATGAAGTAGAGAATGCACCCGAAGATGTAAGTCTCCACCTCATGCCATCCAAACCTCCCTCCAGAATGGGAATCTGTCGGATCTGGTCAATCTCTAGACTACTAAAACCCCTACCCTCACCAAGAATATCCTCCATCTTATCTCTATCCCAAAAACCTCCCATCCAAAGTCCTTCACCTGCATGAAAGGCAGGTGAGTGACTGGCCTAGTACTCGAGAGAGGGGCCTCATCGAACCACCACTCATCACAGAAGCTAACCTCCCCAGAACCCAAGGTCCAAAAAATGTGCTCCTGAGCACGCCTGCCAACAATGGTGAGCCGTCTCCACTGTCGACTATCCCGAGCGGTGGCTGTCACCCTGCAGGGATGGGCAGCACCACCAGGGCAATATTTTCTCAGGAGGTATTGGGCCTAAAGGGACTTGCCCTCCCTAAGGCGCCACCACATCCTGTAGGAAAACGCAGTAACCATATCAGAAAAACGCCGAATCCCAAGCCCACCTTCAAAGTGGGGACGACAGATACAGTCCCACTTCACCCAGTGGGTCTACCGCCAACCTCGCGAGCCCTCGCCATAGCCTTAAAAATAGCGGGCTAAGATCTGATCTAACTCATGAATCGTGGACTAGTGGAGGTCAAGCACCGCGAGAAGGTGAAGAGGAAAGGCACAAAGAGTGCTCTTGATCATAGCAAGTCGGCCTCCGAAGGATAGGTGTCTATGTGACCAGCCAGATATCCGGTCAATCATCCTCTGACGGACGTCAATGAAAAGCTCATGGGAAAGATGACCTTTGTACAAGGGAGCCCCAAGATAAGGGATGGGTAAATCCCCACGAGCAAATCCAGTGCGCTCGTGAATCTGATGAGCCCAATGGTCTGCAACATGGTGGTCCATGATAAAGGAACTCCTACGAACACTGACTAGGTGGCCAGATGTCTCACTGTAGTGGTTCAAAAGACTTATAAGAGCAACTAGTCCATTATCATTCGCACGAGTGAAAATGATAATGTCATCCGCGTAAGAAAGGTGGGAAATGGGAGGCCCACAACCACGCGTGTCGTAGGTCATCCTCGAAAAATCGCGAATGAAGTCGTCAAGGCAGCGAGAGAGATAGTCAGCCACCAGAACAAACAAGGAGGGGGATAAGGGGTCCCCTTGACGAACGCCGCGGGTAAAAGGGAAAAAGGTCGTGGGGCTACCATTAATCAAAACGGAGAATGTGCAGTGCTCCACACACGCCTCCACAAAGCTAATCCAACGGTTAGGGAATCCCATCCGAAACAGTACCTCTCTGAGAAACGACCACTCGACCCTATCATATGCTTTGGCCATGTCTAGCTTCAGCACGAGGTTCGGGGTTCGTGTTCGATTCGCATGAGAGATGTCGTGTATCATCTCCTGAGCCAGAAGAATATTATCACTAATGTCTCGATCCTTGATGAATCCACTCTGATTCGGAGAGACAATGTGGGGGAGGAGAGGGGCTAGGCGACTGTTGAGGATTCTAGAAATGATCTTGTTAGTCACGTTCCATTAACTGATAGGTCTATAGTCAGACCAAGAACTAGGTCCCGATCTCTTCGGGATCAAAATGATGGAGGTTGCCATGAAGGACTGGCATCTGGTGGCCAGAGAAAAAATCCCTCACAGCTTCCTCTACGTCAGTACCCACAATCTCCCAGCAAGACTGGAAGAAGAGGGACGAAAAACCATCCGGTCTGGAGACGCTGTTGGGATCTATCCCAAACACAGCCTCCCTGACTTCCTCCTTACTCGGGAGGTCACAGAGGTCAACAAGATCGACCGTCTGCGGGATGGTCGGAAAGTGGGCCGAGTCGGAGTGCGTAAGCAAATCCCGCTCAGAGGAAAAGAGAGAGTAGAAGTAAGCTTTAGCAGACTCCCGTATTTGGGACCCTGGTTCACGGATGACCCGTTATCCTCGACACTATGGATATACGACTTGACTCGCTTCTGCCTCACGAATCCCTGGAAGAACTTGGTATTACGCTCCCCCTCAGCCACCCAGCGTACAACAGCCTTCTGCTTTCAGAAATCTTCCTCCATGAGGAGGCGCAACTGGTACTCAGCATGGCAGCGGCGCACCTCGGACCTATTCTCTAGCGAAGAATCCAATCATAGGTCCGTTCCGCCTCCGCATACGCAGTTTGAGCTGCAGTAAGGCGCTGAGAAATGACAACAAAAATCGTCCAGTTCCACTGCTTCAAAACGCGGCGGAGTCTCATGAGCTTCTCCTCCAGGTTGCGCATCCCATAGAGGTGCGTAGCCTGCTGCCAGGAGGCTCTAACAGTATTGTAGTAAGAATGGTGACAGACCCACATGTTTTGGAAGCGGAAGGACGCTCGCCGAGGAGAAATAGAGAACCGACAACGAATCAGAAGGGGGGCATGGTCGGATCCAATTCGAGG